GATTTGGCGTGCTGATCAAGCAAACCTGTCTGGTGAATCAAACTCCCAAACTTCAATGGACATTGAAAATGGTGACATTGAAAATCCAGAAAAGATAAATTCTGAGATAGTTCCTTGTGTCATTCCAAAAGAATCCATTTGCTTCTATTGCCAAGAGAAGGGGCATTGGAGACGAAGCTGCCCTATTTACCTAAGAGATCTGAGAGATGGGAGAGTCAAGATGTATGGCTCTACTTCAGGTAAAATCCATTAACTAACTCTATAAGTTCCTATTCTTTGATTCTTAATATGATGTGATAAGATTACATTTTGATGTTTTGCAGGATCGAAGAAAAGAGAGGAAGCTTAAGGAAGAAGCGTGCTGAATCTAATCATGAAGAAATGGATTTCGATCGCATGGATTCGAAGATCAGATTTTTGAGCTGCTACTCTAGAGTTAGGATAGATTGATAAGAAATATGTAATAGCATAGTTTTTCAGTTGAATTGCATTGTAAGGACAGATTTTTCCGCAATAAAATAAATTTTGATTTTATTTTATTTATTTATCCTTGCAATGGTGTGTATGAAAAATTGATGTTTAATTGTTTCTATTATTAGCAATAATGGATTTGATTCTTAATTATGTTATTTGTGGAAATGTCGAGAATTTGCCAAATAAGGGAAGATTCTCATCGCCCAAGTTTCAATTGGACAGAAACTTGGAATCATACAACTAGGTTGCGTGATGAATGAGAAAATTCATATTTGGAAATTAGACTATTTTGACAAAGTGTCAAGAGAAGGACTAGGAGATCGAGTACACTAGGTTGTGCTTTGATCAAGTCCACCACAAGAGTGATAAAGATATTCGTCATGATTTACTAAAGTTTAGTAAATATGGTTATACTTATAAGATTAAGTATAATTCTGAGTTGATTGAAAGAGTTTCAATCAATAGCAGAACGAATAAGAAGAATCAAGTAGGCAGAAAGATAAAAGTTTCTTCATTCCAAAAAGAAGGGAGAGTACCTTTTATTTTGTTTTATAATAAACTTTAATGATTAAGAACTATTTCTCAACTGGTCCTCTAAGTGAGTCTTAGTGCATTTGTATGTCTAAGAAGAGGAATCGAGAATTATGGAAATGGTTAAATCAAGAAGTCAATCATACTTCGTTCCAATATCAAGTCTTAAGAGTCATACTCCAAGATTGTGACTTGAGTGACAAGTCTTAAGTAGGTTTATAACACTCGTCAAATGTGGAATTTGGAAAAGTTTTCTTATTCTTGCACATTTGAAATTGGTAAGTTGTGATGTCTTGGATAAGACAAAGACCAACCAAGACCATTTGTGTGAAGTGTTAAACTTGAAAAAAAAAGGCTACACTAACTCTTGAATATTTGTTTGTCAAGAAATGTTTCTTGACAAGAGAATCTTATATGTCAAGGAGTCAGTGGGAGTCTTAATGGTCTTGAAAAGTTTCAAGAACAAATCAAGAGTAAACCTAGTTAATCATCACTAGCACACGACTTGAGGTTTATAACCTATCGTGTTGACATTATTTTGTTTCTGTGCCATTCCAATTAAGCTAAATATGTATGTGAGTTCTATGAGTTCTCATTTGAATGCATAAAGACAAAGCACCTTGATCAATGGAAAGTACATTGATAGTAAGGATGAGTTGCAAAACCACTTGGAAGACATGGTGGGCACTCGTGTTACCATGAGGCAAGAAATCAAGATTGAACAAGTTCAGTCCATATGGTTTTGGATTTGTCGCAAACTTTCGTTTTGACAAATTCACATGGATAGGAACACATACACCATAAATCTAAGTGTCATAAGGTTCCCTCCTTCATGAAAATGATTGTGAGGAAATGCTTTCACTAAGAGAGATTTTAAGAAGATAGCAATTGTGAAAATTGTATTCTCAAATTCGATTATGATTACGACATCCCTTTTCATAGTTCGAATTGTGAGATTTGGCAATTGGTCTGAACATTTGGGACTTAGTAACATAAATTCTGAATTGTTTAGACACACATGTGAGCTATCTAAGGCAAAGGTGTATGAGCTTAAAAAAGCTTAGATAAAGGCTTATCAAAGCATAGGTATTAGAAATATGAACTTAAGGAATTCAATAAGCATTTTTTTCTGGAAGTTCAATTGTTTTCTGAATACATGTCAAAGCTAGTGGGAGCATAAGTGTTATGCTGGTAAGAAAATAATCATCATGTTAGTGGGAGCATGATTATTATGGTAAGTATTGCAAGTTAGCAATATTAATTATAAAAAAACAAAGATTCACTTTGCAAAGTTGCAAGGGTTGAAAAGTTGTTTTGCTATAATTAAGGGAGAGAATATTATACTTCGTTTCAAAATTCTAAAGCTTAGATCGAGAAATGTTAATAAATTTAGTCAAGGATACATAGTGCATTCTCAAAATTCGATTATGATTACGACATCCCTCTTCATAGTTCGAATTGTGGGAACATGGCACATAAAATATTATGGCAGAAGGATGATAAAGTATCACGTCTTTATGTGAGACATTATGCATCGTGTCCAATACGCTTCGAGTATAGGATCGATTGCATATGCTATAATATTTGACCATTCTAAAATTTTCCAAATGCCTAGGGCATTAAGAGGGAAAAGGACTAGAACTGGTTTTGACTAAAATAATTAAACAACTATCAAAGGACGATCTGAGGTTCACTGAGGATTGGTCGCTTGTGAATAGTTGGAAGTATAGTACTGGATGGACCATATTGACATTATTATGAATAGATAAGATTCTATTAAGAATGAGTTGTCATATGGCAAATATGGAAATGTTTCCATTAATGGGAGTTGGATATTAAGAAATATGTCTAGATTAGAAACTTTTATGCGAGAAGGATGTTCAAAGGAATGTACTTTGAATGTGAGACTTCACGTCTATGGAATTGTCTTGTAACAATTTCCGATAGAATACCTTGTAATTTCATTAGCCGAGTCTTGGTGACTTTTGTGCTGTGACATTACGAAAGAATCATTGCATAAAATGTTAGAATCTGACATATTCTAAAAGTGGCAAGAATTTGGTATTCTTATACTAATAATAAGGATTGGGGATTGTGAAATGAGTTTCATTGGAAAAGTTTTTCAATTGATCTATTTCACAAAGTATGGACCATAGGAAACCAAAGTGTGCATGCTTGGAGCATGGGACAATTGTGGTTATAATTCGAGTAATAAGTTGATTTTCTGAAACAGTAAGCAATGAATAATGAGTAATCAATATGGTGTTTAAATAAAAGTGTTTTTATTTACGCTCAAAAGTTTTGGGGCCATATAGGATTAATATTATTATTGTGTTTCACTTTGCATGTTTTGACTTCCAGAATAACTGGGTTATTCGAACCTCCACAGTCGGTCATACGTTGGAAGTAAGTATGAAGGAAGACTGTCATGAATTTGTCTGTAGATTGTCTAAAGTGTTCAGACATAGCACAAGTTTGCTGCAGAGTTCATGAGTGCTTTGATAAGATTAAAGTATTGGATTAAACCCACGCTCACTTGAATCACTTCATGGATTTATTACGGGTGATTAGTGAGACGATAACATTGTATATTCTTGAAACCGAGACGTGTGAGTTGTTATTTGCTGGTCGGTTGCACATTGATGATAAGTAAACGCACCAGTAACTTGGTGTTATAAAACTTATTGTTGTGTGTGATTCGATTAGTAGGTGCAAGCAAGCATTTGAGTCGAAGTTTATCCATTCCTTTTACCCAAAGTGGGATAAAAGCGATATCTGTGGGCCCCTCGATGATTTAGTGATGACACCTAAGCGCTTGGCCAAGCCGGGACTAAGTTGATGTGTTCAATTGTAGTCTGTTGTCAGTCGTCATAAATCGGAAGTCGGGAAATAGTATAGAGAGAATGATCGAAATTCATGTCTTGTGTCTATACGATATCTTGAGAATGGAGGAATATATGATCCCTTATCTAAAGGACACGCGTATATGATAAGATCAGAGTTGACAGCGGCTTTTGAAAGCTACGATTGCTAATCAGGTTCTGAAGTTATACGAAATAGTTATTAGACTTATCCAAGTGGGAGACTGTTGGATTACTGTCTAAGTCCATAACTATTTTGGTATGTACTTGACCCGATTGTGAGCATGGTCCTTTTGGGTTGCCTTCACCATAGCAATATGTAGGATGAATTAAGAAGAGAAAGGTTTAATTATGATTTATTAATATATTATGAGAATAATATATTAAAGGAGAAATCATATTGTTTAATTAATATTAGTCAAGAATTAATAAAGAATTAATTTTGTGACTAAAAGAGATTAATTAAACTAAGGGACTTATTGTGTAATTATAAGATAATTACATAATTGGGCTATGGATCACCTTGGAATAATAGGTTGGACGAATTCTATGGGGAAGCCCATTAGAAATCGTCCAAGGCATGTTCCAGAAGGGGTCCATGGGCTGCTTAGAGCTTAAGCAGTCAAATTAGGGTTTCCTTGTTAGATAACCCTAATTGCCTACCTATTTAAGGAGCCCCTAAGCCCCCAAGACATGGACAACTAATCCTTTAGGGTTTCCAGCTGTTTTGGTGCCTCCTCTCTCCTCCCTCTTCATCCAAGTTGCTTAGTGGTGTTTGTGACTCCATTAGAGGTGCCACTTGAGGCACTAAGCTTTCTGAAGCCAAGGATTGATTGTTATTGCTATATAACAATCAAAGGTAAGATCTAAACCCTAATTTCAGTTATAGTTTATTAGATCTAGGGTTTATGGCTTTGGATTTACCAATTGCATGTTCATTAGACAAACTAGATCCAAAAGCTATTAGGGTTTGCATGTACACCATATGAATGATGTATTGCTCAAAACCCATCAGATCAATGATGCGTACTCGCCTCTCCCCTATCTTTACTCGACTTTCACGTCAATCTGGCTCGTTTTCACTTCTGTCGATCGGAGGGAGGAGGCGCGAATAAGAGGAGGTGTGATTTTGGGATGTGTCGATCGGATTTGAGAAGTGAAGAAGGAAACAACGATGATGGATCATCAACACTTACATCAATCGCCGTTTTCAGGTTACGTCTACATTCAACTAGTTGATTACTATCGGAATCCTAAATGTCTAGATTTTGTTTGTATATAAAATTTTGGATTTGAGCAGGATCGATGCTATCCTGTTGAAGCTAATTGTGTTTAATTGTTTGATTGTGCTGTGATGATATTAGAGCAGGTGAACAATTTGCAGTGGACTCCGGGCTTTGTGGTCGATGGGAACAGCAGAGAAGGAAGAAAACGATGGGAAAAGGGAGGACCTATGGGGTTTGGCTAGACCGAAGGAAGAAGCAACGAAGCTGCGGTGGCCTTCTGTGGGTGAATATGGGTGTTGTAGGGTGGCAGTGGGCCGTCTAGGGTGGTCGCAGTCGGCATTTCCGTCTGCTTTTTTGAGGTTTGTTTCTGTTTTTTTTTGCTTGTTTTAGACAGAAATCAATAGAGGGAAAAGATGGGTGTTTGGGTTTGTTGTTTTTACAAGGAAGAGAACATGAAATTGGGGCTATTGACCATTAAAACAGAAAGGGGAAGGGGGAGTTGCAGTTAAACAGGTGAGCAGGGGGCTGTTTCTACAGCCTCTTCGTTCTTCATCTTTTTTTTGTTTAATTTTTAATGGTAATGGAAGCAAGAAATCAGTGGCTTTTGCTTGTGGAATCGGTAATGAGCAAGGATGACCAAGAGAGGGTTCTTGCTCTCTTGATTACTGGGTATTTTACCCATCTCTAGTGGTGTTCTTTGGCAGGAAAACAAAGGAGAAGAACAGGGAAGGCTTTGGTTGCTTCATTTGACAGAAAAGAGTAGGAAGAACAATGGTGATGATCTCTTCTTTGATTGGGTATGTTTCTTTTGATTGAGTTTTACAAGTTAAATAGATAAAAAAATCAATTATCTTGATGATGTTATTGTATAGTTGTGAATTTTGATAGATATGGAGTACATTGTGATCTAAGGGAAAGAAAACATAAACGTGTGGTACAATTCTTGAGATTGACATGAAGAAGATAAAAAGAATCATGAATTCCAATTCTGTTGGAATGGAATCATGAATTCCAATTCTGTTGGAATCTAAACTACAATTTGCTTTTGTTTTGACAGAAGTTGATGCTTGAAGAACGGACCGCAAATTTCAAAGTGATTCTAAGCATTCTCAGAGAATATTATTCTTACATGATTTGATTCATGGCAGTTATTTTCGTTAAATATCTAATTTCATGGATGATCAAGGAAAGAGCTATTCTTCTGATAGAATAATCTACAATAGAATGATAGGAGTATATGTAATAATATATTCTGCTAGAATATTCAGGTCGAATAATATACATATTTTTATTTGTTATTAGTGAGTATTTCATTGTCATAGAATATTATATAAAATTTTTACTTTTTTAAGAATGTAATGAAATATTTGAAGTTGTATCCAAAAATGTGTTATTAGTCGGTGTTGGCATTCTCACAGAATATCATTCTAATAGAAATATGTATCATGAAATTCATAGAGAATATGATTTTAACAGAATAAAATCGGGTTTAATTATAAAAATTACATTATAATTAAAATTAAAGTAATTAAAAAAATTAGAATTTTAAAATCAAGAGAGTTAATTATCCCAAAAAATATGGAATTTTCCTTTTTTAAATCTATCTCAATTGTCTAAAATACCCTTAGAATGAAATTAAATGGTATTTTTCAATTATCTTTAATTTAATAATATATATTAATCACTTTCTTAAATTAAATAAAATGATTGGTCCACATTTATGCATACAATAACACAATAATTAGTTTAAATAGAATAACCTAAGCCTATATATATATATATATATATATATATATATATATATATATATATATATATATATATATAATATATATATATATATATATATATATAGAGAGAGAGAGAGAGATAGGTTCAGGTGTTTTAAGTAAGTATTGTGTTATTGTATGCATAAATGTGGGTCAATCAAAATTTAAAATAAAAATAAATAATTAAATAAATAAATAAGGGTAAATAGGTAATTTGATAATTAGTTTCCACAAATAATATCCTATAATTATGGTAACTATTGACTTCAGCTACTAGGCTTTTTAAAACCACCGTAACCCTAATCAAACCATCTCCAGCCGTCACCTCCATCCTTATGCCTCCCACTACCGGCCGCCACCCTACCCTTTCCTTCTCTCGATTCCAGTCGCACGCAAAACACACACACAATCCACCCACACCCATTTCATTTTCACTTTCACACACTCCTTTTGTAAAACGTAACTTCTCTTTCCCCAATTTACCCCTACATTCAATCTCTCATGGCGGAGGATCGGAGACGCCATGAACAACCTACTAACTCCGGTAGAAGGAGCCTGAAGAGGAAGCTGGAGGACGAATTAATCGTAGATCATAAGTTTTCTTCTATAGACGCCGTTTCTCAACAAGATCTATTATATGAAATTCATGCTCAGGTTGAAGTACTCGATTCTACTTTCTCATCGAGTGAAGCAGATCGTGCCCTAGTCAAACGCTCACTTCACGCCCTCTCCGAGTTCGCAAAGAACGGTTTGGATTTTCCTTATTGAGTTTTGTTTTTCAACTTTACGCAGCGTAATTTGATTTGATTTTGTTTGTGAACTTGATCGTCGAATCTGGTGCTGTTCCAGCCCTAGTACGTCATCTTCAAGCGCCACAGTCACCAGAAGAGGTTGTTACTGGCACAATACCGTATGAACATAAGGTGGAAAAAGGAAGTGCCTTTACTCTTGGACTTCTTGCAATTAAGGTAGGTACTCATTTGAATTGCATAACCTTGTCAATTAAAATAAAGGAGAATCCAAAAGATTATATTTGATAAAATTACTGTTATTAATGGCGATAGATTGTTTCCTGTTGAATCCGTTCACAAACAATTTCTGAACACTTTCAAAAATCTTCCCAATGTTTTAACAACCTGAGCATCAACAACGCACAATGGATGTTGGAGCCTTACCTCATCTGGTTGGTCTTCTTAAGAGACACCTGGATGGCCAAAGTTCTCGAGCGTTGAATGGTGCCATAAGGAAAGCAGCTGATGCAATCACCAACCTTGCTCATGAAAATAGCAGCATCAAGACCCTTGTTAGGTCTGTTTCCCTGCATCTTTTTCAGATGTTATTCATGTATTTTAGTACCTTTAGTTCATCACATCTTTTCATGTTTAGGGTTGAAGGTGGCATTCCTCCACTTGTTGAATTGTTAGAATCCAGTGATGCTAAAGTGCAAAGAGCTGCAGCGGGGGCCTTGCGTACACTAGCTTTAAAAAATGATGAAAACAAAAAACAGGTTGATGCTTTTATAATTTAGTGAAGCTTCTTTTTGGGATCAAGAACTAAATTTTGTCTAATATATCCATGAAACATTTGCAGATAGTGGAATGTAATGCTCTGCCCACCCTTGTTCTAATGCTTCATTCAGAAGATGCTGCTATACACTATGAAGCTGTTAGTTTCTATACCATTTTCTTAAATACCAATTAGTGTGTATACATCTATTGCATTAGATATTTCAGTATGTTTGACTTTCTTTTGACTTTGGAAAGATGTAAAGGAAATGTCCAAAAGGATCAACGATTTATGTGGTAAGCTAATTCTATCGGAATAGAATCACGAATTCAAATTCTATCGGAATGGAAACACGAATTCTAATTCTGTTGGAATGGAATATGGATTTTTTCTCATTGATTATACATGTTCTACAATTTTTGGTTATTGGTTTTGGTGCAGTTAACAAGTTTACTTATTTTTCCAAAGGAATATAGTTTTTTATTTATCATTTGCTAATGCGTTATTGGATTCTAAACTACAATTGGATTTGTTTTCACAGAAGTTGATGCTTGAAGAAGTTGATGCTTGAAGAACGGTCAACAAAATTAAAAGTGTTTCTTAGCAACATTATTCTTTTAGAATGAATTAGTGTATTTGTTAGATTTTGATGTTTTTTTTGCCCGATTTGAAAGTTATTTAGTTTTATTCTTTAACAATAAATATAATTCTTAACAATTGTTACATGTATTCTATAAGAAATAATGTAATTTTTGTTTTAATTCTTCAATTGTTGGTTTGAGAATTTGTTATTCTACAAGAAATTTTTAAAGTCATAATCAAGAAAATTTGTTATTCTAGAATATTATTATTTTTGAACATACTCAAACATATTCTGTCAGAATGTCCGAATTAAAAACCTTATAATTAGTAAAAATCGGATTTTTGAAATTAATAGAATCTATGATCCCTTAAAATATGCAAGTTTCCTTTATTAAATATGTATTAATTGACTAAAATACCATTCTACTTAAATTGGATGGTATTTTTCAATTATTTTTAATTCAATAATATGTATTAATCACTTTCTTAAAATAAGTAAAATGATTGGCCTACATTTATGCATACAATAACACAATAATTAGTTTTAATAGAATAACCTAAGCCTATATAGAGATAGGTTCAGGTGTTTTAAGTAAGTATTATATATATATTGTAAAATTAAAAGTTAATATTTATATATATGTATAAGAAAAGTCAGTCTTACCGTTAGTAGGCCTCATTCACGAAGCTGGTCTATAAAGGGAGTTTAAGGAAGCGGCCTATAAAATGACCACCATTGGGTATCCACTCTTACCCACCGCTCTCTTGACTAGTGGAGGGTCGTTAGCCGAACGGGTTTGATAGGACACTAAACTCTCATTAATAAGTATAATGATATATAAAGTAACTAAATGTTTTTTTTATAAAATATCACTCTTGGTTACTTTAGAAAAAAATGTGAATTTGATGCTAACCCATGAAATTGCACATTGCACCTTATTGGTCGTTAGTGGAGCGTGTGTGGTTAACCGACACACTAATATGGGACTAATATTGTTGGCAATGAGTGTCTCGTAAATTATCATTGATTAATGGAGCGTGTGTGGTTAACCCACACATTAATTAGATGGTAAATGACATCGAGAGTACCAAGCTAATTTGCATGGTTATTCACATCTCGTTTGTGATCCTCAACATCTCAATCACAAAGTGAGAGCATAATCGAGATTAAATATGCCATTGAATAGTTCAATGGATCTCAAAAGATCTAGGAGTTTCATAAGATTGAAATTGCTAAACGCTTTACCTACCTAAAATAGATTTGAATTTGATTACAACATTCTCTTCAGAATTTGAATTGAAAATATGGATCCTAGCCTTAATTTTAATTTTTGGGTTAATAATTAAGGATTAAAATCAACTAACTTGAATTCTCTATTCTCCCTTTTTTTAGATGTCAAGTTCATACAACAACGGTCTTCCTCGTTCTTATGGAAATGTTTTTCCTTTATCTGAAGATGATCTTCCACATGTTGAGCAAGGTGAAAGAATGTTCCCTTCTTCAAGCAATGGTGAAATTGGAAATCATGCGTCTCCAACTCTTCCTCCACCTCCTCCAGTGACTCTCCCTAAGTCATGTCTTCTTCAAGTTTAAAAGTACGAATTCACTCAAGCCCTTTTGGCTAGTAAGCATCAAGATGGAAAGTCTGTGTGTGCGCATGTTCTGAAAATGAAATCGCACATTGACAGATTGGGAATGTTGGGTGTCGTTTTCCCAAGGGAGGTAGCCATTGACTTGGTTGTACTTTCGCTTCCTAACTCATATAGTCAGTTCATTAAAGACTTCTATGAGAGGGACCACGATGTGACCCTAATCCATCAGACATATATGTTGATTTCTGCTGAAGCAGAAATGCTTAAGAGCACAATTCAAGCGAATATGTTTGAAGGATCTGTCTCCCAAGTTTCTATGGACATTGAAAATGGCAACATTGGTAGTCCAGAAAAGGTTTCTCTTCCCAATGGAAAGTGATCGGCCAAGGTCAGACCGTTTGACCATATGGTAAAGAGAAATGCTAGTTTTGAGATAGTCACATCTGCTATTCCAGA